CCCCAAATGTTTTTTCCACTGATTGATAATTAGCAAACCAATACCTGACCCTTTCTTTTTGTCTATACAAGCATTCATTTAAAAACTTTTATATCCTTCTAGATTTCTTGTTAGAAAGAAACTCTCTTTATCTGTAATGTTTGTTTCTAAGAGCCCTATTACGTCGAGTTCATTATCTATCATCTATTCATACAATGTTTCTATTTTTTGATTATTTGCTTTGAGACTATTAATATTGTATATTGCTAATTTAAGCTCTATTTTTTCATTTTTGTATATTCTTCCTGTATGAACTCTAAGTTGAGTATTTCTAATTTCTTGCTAAGAAGTAACTTTATCTATTTGTTTTCCTTTTTTTTTATTGTTATCTATATTCAGTAGCTCCACTTCATCTTTTCTAAAATTTTTTTTTAGATATAGAGTGTTTTTATATATTATTTCTGTTCCAAGCACTTGACTTTGTGAAAAGAAGCACATCTTTATATCTGTTAGCTTCAGGTTAACTTCAACAACTATTAGGAGTGATATGGTGGTTTCTATCTTACTACTATGCTATTATCTCCATTTAGTGCTTCTAGTTTGTCAAGTCTGCTAAGTATTCTTAGCATTAACCTTTTTGTAGATGCTTCTATATCACTTTTTTCTATACTTTTATTTTCCTCATTTTGGTTCCTTCTTTCTCTTCTTCTATCTTCATACTTGTATACTCTTTTCTAAGTATTGTTTTCATTTCTCTTATTATCATAATTTTTGTTGGTTGCTCTTGTTTCCTCTTTTGTCTTTCTTTTAAAACTATAGTCTTTCCAAAAAACTGTATAATTGTTGTATCTTATCGGTTTGAACTGTGCTACTTTTAATTCTTCTTGACTTGCAAATGTAATTATTGCAAATCTCTTAGTGTTACCATTCCTGTTTGTAGGAATGTATACTGATTTTGCACCTTTACTTTTTAGACTTTGCAGAAGCAACATCTTTGAAGCTTTTTTGAGAAGCTCTAGTAATTTGGCTGTAAAAAGACTTTGTTTATTTCTTTGTTCGTAGTTTTCTTTCTCTTGAGTTATCAGATTAGCTTGTTATTATTAAATGGTAATGACCATAGAGTGTATTCATCATTACTGCTTGTAATCTCGATTATTGCCAATGCTTTGAATTGTGATCTTTTGACTTTTACTATATGTACACTGCCAAGGCTTCTGTACATGTACTTTATTTCTTCATACTTGACATTTATTAATAAGTTCCAAATTGTCAAATATCTTGTAATTTCTATCTTTTTCTTTCCCTTTTTGCTAGAGCTAGGTTCTTCTATTTTTTTCTTAAGATGAAGATCAAATTTATCTTTTTGTGAACATAAGGCTATACTATATCTTTCTTTGTATTTTGGTTTTATTTCTTTTTTACTTTCTTTATAATATATAATGGGTTTTCTTTCTGGAATTTTAACCTTTTCTGGAATAAGATTACACCATTCTCCTTCTTTTTCTTTAATGCACTTGCTTAATATCCTTCTGCTGTATTTACAGTTGAAATCAACTACCATTCAGCTGTTACTATTTTGAAATTTCTCTTCGATTGTTTTAATATATTCATTTCCCCTAAGAACCCACTTTATATAGTTGATTCAGTATTCTTTAGTTTCTCCTAAAATCTTAAAAGATGAGATTTTTGCTTTAAAAAAAGCATTCTTGTCATAGATTCTGTTTTTAGATGACCAGAAGCTGTCTTCTAACTGAGTTGCTACTGGTTTAATTTCTAACTCTTTCTGCTTGGTTGTTTCTCTAACACTTTGGATTATAATTTCTTATAAGGTTTTCTGACTTACCTTGTGCTCTTTTCTATTTGACCCTTTTGTATAGTTATTTTTACTTGCTAATAACTTCTTAGTTTTACCTATTATTTCTGTTTGTTGTACTACTACTTTAAACTTTTTTGTGTCTGATATTTCTATTTGCTCTAAGCTCTTATTTACTTTTATATCTGGAATCATTGTATCTTCTATTTGTCATCTTTTTTTTGATGTTGCACTAAAGTAATCTTTTTTATTTCTACTGTTTTTCTCAATCTCTTCTATCTTATTATTTTTTTTTTTTCTTCTTTTTTGTTTAAATTTAACATATAATCAACTAAGCCTAGATTTTGGCTTACTATCTTGATTTTACTAGCTCAATCTTCAATAGTTTTTTTGGTACTGTTTTAGCTTCTTCTGATGCATATCTCAGAGCCTCGAGTATTTGACTATATAGTAGAAGATCTTTAGTTGAAATTTTTTGAGGATTATTAAGAGCTAAGTTTTTTGCTATAGTTTTTATATCATTTGGTTTTTTAATTATAGATGTTTCCAAAATTTGGTTTAATTCATTGCAGTTTAAGTATCTGTGCAGTTTGTTATCTGTTCCTTGTATTTACTGGATTAGGCTTTGTTTGTTGATTATCTCCATTCGATTACTTTATTTGCTCGATCTATTTTTGTATTTTGTTATTTGACTATTTATTTTCTAATTTAGTTTTATATTTGACTTGATGTTTGTTGTTTTCTTTTGTTAATTGTTGTAAATTTCTAAATCAGAAATGTGACCGCTATGTTTGTTTAATGTTTACAATTTTTGGTTGATCATGTGTGTTTAGTAATTTTTTTGAAATAGCGTAATGCTTTACTTTTGTCAAGAAAATTTTTAAAATTGACTCTGAGTTTCCAAATAATTTGGTTTTGACAAAATTAAATTTTATATTGAAGTAAAACAAAGGAAATACACTGAATAAGTAAGATCTATGGCCTTTTGAGTGTTTTAAGAAGAACAGATTTAGTTGACTAGTCTGTAAGAGTCAAAGTTAGTAAACAAAATTGTTTGGTCTTTATTAGAATTGCCACCTTTATGCTAGTACCAAAACCAAAATTAGTTATTTGTGGCTTCTGACTTTCCAATAGTATTGAAATTAGCAGTGTTATGTTTGGTATTTTTTAAAAAAACTATATTATTATAAGGAACTTATAGTATTGTTTTCTAAATTTTAGTTAATTTTGTTTGTTTTGATGTTAGTATATATGAGTTACATAGTAACAAGTTAGTTTTAGTAAATTATATAGTTGCTAACAAGTTAGTATAAGAATAAAGTTAAGCTTATAGTTAGAAAGATAGTTAGTAAATTAGTTAGCTAACAAGTTATAAAGTAATTAACATGTTAGTTAGTTAGTATATAACAAATATTGTATCATACTGCCTTTAGTACCCTGTGTAACACAATTTTTTACATAGGAAAAATTAAAAATCACATGTGTTACACAATTGTTTACATCACATATTGTGCATAAATAATATTGTAAAAAATTGATCTGCATTATTTGTTACGCCAGGTACTAAAGATAGTGCAATACGGTAAATATATAAATTAATATATATTGTATATAGTATAGGCTACATATAGCCGTGGCTATATCTAAATTCTCCTTTATAATTATTATAAAATTTAAAATTAAAATATAATTATAAACTAAAAAAAAAAACTATATATAAAAAGTTAAATTTTGATTATTATAAGATTTTTGGGTTCTAAATATTTTTTAATTAGCTTTTTTAAATATAATAACTGTAATACTAAACACCAATAGTACTTTTAGTAAACTAAAATATATTAATTAAAAAAATATTAATTATAAACTTTTTAACTTGTTATATTAATATAATACAATATATATATATATACTAATAATAACTAATTCTAAATTTTAAGTTTGAAAAATTATTTAAAAAGAATAACTGAAGGTAAAATCACCGGGATGCTATATCACAAAAACTTACTAAATAATTTACTTTGAGGGTTCTAAGTGCTCAAAAGCTTCAAAAACTTTATATTAACTAAAATTTAAATCTTCTTAGCTACCCTTAAATTACTTTATAATCTAAAAACATAAGGGTGATGATTTTACCTCCGGTTAAATAAGTTATTTCTTTAAAAATTATTATTTGTTATTAATACACGCCACAAAAAATTCATCAGCCAACCTTAGTATTGGCCGTAGATTAACTTAATACACAGCATATATGTGTACTGTATACATATATTTAATATTTAAATTTTAATTAATAATTCCAACCTTATTTAAAATTAATAATATACGTATACTGGAAATACTGTACGTATAATTAAATTTTTTTTTTAAAGATAATAATTAAATATAAATATTTATCTCCAAACACACAATGTTGTGTATTTCCAGTACGTATGTAACACCTGACCAGAATTAGTGCATGAAGATCTAATTTTATGGCCTTAATTTCAGTTAGGTGATACTTTAGATATCTAAAGTGAGCTATTTTTCAAACGTACAAAAAATAAAGATGGAAAAAGCATCTTTGGTAACAATTAATTTTATAATCCCTTAATCCCCTGATCACTATCTCAAAGATCACGGGGATTGATAACTAATACTCCGTATGTGAATAAGAGGAAACGATCAATGGCACAAACAAAAAGACCGGACCAAATATATCAAAAAGTTCCCATAAAGATTAATCTTATCTATTTTTATTTTTTTAGTTGATCTTACATTGATTATTTTTCAATTTTAATCCCTATCGCTATATGTGCCATATCGATATTTAATTAAAAAAAAACAAAGGATTTTTTTAAAAATATTTACATTAGAAATTACTTAACAAATGAAAAACAAAGCATATAGATGTTGAAAAAAAACGAGGAGGGATTAATCCTATCCTAAATCATTAGTATAGATACTATATTATATGAATATTATTTTTAACAAAATGATCGTATATGAATATTATTTTTAACAAAATAATCGTATATGATTAATAATGGCATAAGAATTTACGCAGTCGCAATTGCGAACCGAAAATAATTTTAGTATAGCATATTATTTTTTTCGATAATGAAGAGGAAAAAAGAAAAAAAATAATCAAATCTGGAGAGAGAATCGGTTTTTTTTTTTGTTTTTTTTTTTTTTTTTTTTTTACGCGAGTTTCTTATCTCGCAAAAGAATTTCATGATAAAAGTGATTTAACGTCAATTGGTTTACGCGATTCATCCGAAGATGTCGATAACCCTGATGTTCTTGAATAATAATTAAAAAAATCATCTTTGGAATCGTATTCTCCCGAAGATGAAGGAGGAGTCAGAGACTCTGGTTCTTGTTCAAGCAATTTGGAACGAAGCTGATAAAACTTTAGAATCACGTGAATGGATTAGATACGGTCACGTTATAAAGAAATAATAAATCATAAGAAAGTTACCTCTTTCTCCATTTCAAGAAGTCTTTCTTGAGCAGCTTTTTTGTCAGCGATAGCCTCATCCAATTTTTTTTCTAACTCTATAATGTGTTTAGCACTATCCATACTTTCTAATTCTTGAACTCTTCGTTCCAAAAATTGACATTTTTCTTGCATTTCTCGTTCTCGTTGCTTCCGCCGATCACGAAAACGAGCAGACGCACCAGCATTTCTACGTCTCTTTTCAGCAAGTAATTCAGTCGCGGGATCAATCCGATCATTTTGACGATACACAGGATGTTGATATGGATGATGCATTGGTCTGGAGACCATACTATGAGGGTGAGTAGGAGTAGCCATTAAAACCTGAATCGCGTTTCTAAGCTGCCTTGGTGAAGAATATGACTGTTCATGCTGTGGCATATTTGAATGAGAATGAAAGTGGCCACTTTCAAAAGATGTTTGTATGCGTTCTGGCTGAGTGTATGTTTTCAGGCCAACTTGTTTTGTCGGTATCGACGGTGGGGTTGGTGGTGTCGAACGAACGTACGAACGTGTAACGAATGAAGGAGTCGAAAAGTCGGCCGGAGGAGAACATAATGATGGTGATGCTGAAGGGGCAAGACTTGACACGGGTGGTAAAATCGGCATGATATTATCCGTATCAATAGTTAAAATAGGTGGTAAAACCCTTTCGGAACCAGAAGAATGAAAGGACATCGTCAGGAATAACAATCAATGATTATAATATCAGTGAATTTATGCTTGCTTGTTTTGAAATTATTTTTGTTTGTGCGAACTTCGAATTGTTTTTTTTGTTTTTTTTTTAAGATGAATAAGATTGATATCGTTCGTAATCGCACCAGAAACAATTTCAAAGATTAATGATTACGATTGTTTAAATTTATCGAGTTAATGTACATAAGTATAGTTTGGTCATAAATTTTTTGTTCTCCTTGATGACTAACAAATTTACATTTCTTCTTTATACTATATCGTGATAATGAAAAAATGCAAAACTGAGAGTTATCAAATAGATGACTTTTTTTTTTATTCCGAAATGGAGAATCAGATGTGTATTTATTAAGATATACAAAAAAAAAAAAAAGACCGAAATTTTAGGGTTTATCAAAAGGGTTAGAAAATAAGGTCGAGCATTTCTCCGAGGTTTAAAAAAAGCGGGCATTTGTAGAACTTTTGTCATCGCGTAGCAGAGTTGAATTGATTGTGAAGGCATGTATAAAAAAAATTTTTTTTTTGTTTACGTTTATGTACAGTAATAGTGTGGTATATTGTTGATTTTTATTGCACTATGTATTTTTTATTTTATATACATATATACATATATATATATATATATATATATATATATATATCATATGTATAATAATTATTTTTTATTTTATATGTCTCATAATAATGTGTAACTTTGACATTCTCTTAATTTCAAAAGAAAAAAAAATTATTAGCATACACAAAAACGAATTTGGTCATTTTTTCAATCGTGTAAATGTATGCCGTTTACAATGCCATATGTGATTAGCCGTTGATAAATATAATAAGTATACATGATTACAGCATTCACGGGCACTAAATCGATATCAAGATCAAAGGGGGGAAACCGGGAACCGATGCGTGGATAAAATAAGTACAACAATCGATAATTAGCGGTTTTAAGCTATTTTAAATGTCATTCAGATACTAAAAAATTAAACAATAGGATTCGATGTAATAAGTTTTGGGATTGAAATCAGGAGTTGCGGTAAACAACTCCCGCACGGATAAGAATTTTTTTTTGATGTAGGTCTCGAGTTTTGGGAAAGAAAAATTTTTTGCATCCAAGCTTAAACCGGTATTGTAAATTTTAAATGCGATATGACAATCGAATAATTGCATTCTAAGACGTCATTTTAGTGTACCGAAGGATTTCACCTTCTTTTACTCCTTCGGTGAACTTCTGCATCACCCGTTTTATTCAAATTTTTACACTATTCCTTGTTTGTCTATTACACAGTATTTATTCGCAATGTGCAAATCATTGAGAAAACACAATCAATTAATCTATATCCTAAAAAGAAATCAAATCTTGACTACGTAGTAGCACATTATATTCAACCACGCATAATTGCATGATTTATTCCCGGTAAGTCCTGACTATTTCGAATCATTTTTTGTAACTTGAGTGTCATTCATACATTAACCTGTTAATCCTGATTATGTCGTCATGAACGGAAAATTTTAGGATGGGAAAAAATATCGCGAATCCAAATTAAATCATCCAAAGAAACTGGTGAATGTGACAATGATGTTGTAAATCGAGAGTGATGTTAAAATGCTACTTAATAAATTTGGTATTTCTTTATTATGTACAAGGTCATAATAGGAAATGTGAATGAGGATCGGGAACTCACTGCTTTAAAAGTCATGTAATTAATGGGTAAACTATTGTGAAAATAATGCTAAAATTCTGATTTTTAGAAATTTACACCTGCTTTTTGGCTTTTTTATCGATTGTGAAATTCCATTCTTACTAAATTACAAAAAAATTGAATAATCAAAGATTTCAAATAAAGTGATAAATTCTTGTTACAATTAATGTTTTTAAATAATTTAATAAATAAAGTCGCATTCATTGTGTATCACCCAAATTTATCCTTAAAAATTTCACGCGTTCTGCGTTCTTTATCGTTTTCACGACACACGTACCTAGCCATAATTCTGGTTACATCAATGGCGTAACAAGCATTTTCCACTTATAACCTTTTTTAGCAACTGTCAAGTACAATAGGTAAATGCCAGCCCTAAATAAATAAAGAATAAATATTCTTTCGCGCAATGACCACAGTTGGTTGGTTGGACAACTATGTTATCAATTTAATAAATAAACAAAAACAATTTGTAAATTTTCATTTATCCAAAAATAAAAAAAATAAAAAATTATGAAACAAATGTTACGCTTTAATATGTAAATTTCACGAAAAAAAAAATCTTACATAACTTATAAAAAAGAACTCTGAGTTAGCGAATAACATTAAATTGCCCATTTTGTCATAGCTCCTTGTATTGTTAAAATTCTTTATATTAATGGTTACGCATGATTGCATGCGGGCGTTTTTCTTACCTCAAAAACTCACTTATAAAGCGTCTTTTATTTACAGAATTCTTATTTGTTTATGTCGTCATTTTTCGATTATACTGACATAATGTAAATTAAATTGCTTCGTGGTTGTGGGATGATTTAATTCAATAATATGGGATCTCCTGAGATGAGAGAACGTTTAAAACTGTTTTTTGTTTTTTATACGTACGTACGTCGTACGGTTTTATCATAGATCATCAGAATTGGCGTGTGAATACATTTCGTGTTGTCTGTGTTCAATTTAAATTTCATGCTTAATTGATGCACAGAAAAGTCTAGAATTTATACTAGTTATGTATATTACATCCAAATATCAGAGCGAAGATTTTACAACAGTATGGTCAACAATATCACGTAATATTTATGATCGCTTTTATAATGCATTTAAAATATATTTTTTTTATCATATATTATATATATACAAAATTTTAATATTAATAATTTTTGATCTACTGGTCCATTTTAGGTCATATATAACAAAATTTTAAAAGTGATCCGACAATCTGGCTTTTGAATGATTTGGTTATATTATTCTTTAATAAACTAATTGTTAGTAAAAATTGCTAATGATTATAAGTTTGATTTAAATTTATTTAATATTTTTTTTACCAAATTAATACAACTTGGTTTCAATAAACACATACATCATAAATACTAATTTTACCTATCTTTCTTTAGCTTATGCACTCAATAAAATTTTAAACTATTGAAATCAAAATTTATTAATAAATTAATTTCTTATTTTTATTTTATTTAACTGCAATTTTAAATATTTTATTATGGAATGGGGTCTTGTAGCCTAGTGGTTTAGGCATCCTTTTCTTTATAGACAAGGTTGACAGTTCAATTCTAACTAGAGGCAAAACTCTGTAATCTATGGAAGCATATAAATGTATGCAAAGCCCTGTGGCTAAGTTCATGTAAATAGAAGATTAGTATATAAGGAAGTTTCCAAAAAGAAGTTTTTCAATATGGAGAGTTGACACTTGATATAAGAAATGTGGTAAACATATCAAAAATAAAGAGAAGATGCACTAGTAAGTAATATGGTAAACATAAAAGGAAATTATGAAAAAGGAATAAACTTACTGAAATTCAAACATTTCTGGTATTAAAACTGATTTAGTAGATACAGGATATACTAAATTAGATCTAAGTAATAATCTTGATACCAGCTTAGTAAGCTTGCATTAAGAGTAAATTTGAAAAAATATAGATATTTAGTAACATCCAATAAGGTGGTACTTTGATATAAATAATAACTAAGATAGCCTTAAGCTAATATATCACTATAATAGTAATGTAAATATTGCATATATATACAAATATAAGTATTAAAAATCAGAAAGTTTAAATAAAAAATTCACAAGCAGGTCTCAGATATGACATCTAGTAGGTAACCTATAGGCAGAATCCTTAATTAGATAATAATTAAAGTTATATGTGTAATTAGTTATACTTTTGTTAATATACTTTGTATATAAAAGTGTAATTATATATTATTAATAAAGACACACAGACAATATTGCTATTTCAAATGAAAAATATATATATATATATATTTTATTATAATTTTTAATTTTAAATTTTTATAATAAATAATGTTTTTTTATTTTAATTCTAATTGATATTTAATTAATACTAATATAAGTTAAATATAATACTTAATTATCAAAAAATAAAAAATACAAATATAATAAAAAATTATTATTTCTTAATATGTTTTTTCAAACAAATTTGTTTAAAAAATTATTAAAAATATACTTATAATTTATTTTTTAAATATTTAAATAAAATTTTATTTAATAATATTTAAAATAAAGATTATATTATAGCAGTATTTAATTTTATATTATAAAAAAAAATATATACTATTTATAAACTAAAAATAAATTATCATCTATAGTGATATAGGTTTTACTAAAATTTAGAGTTAAAGTGCAGTTTAAGATCAAAACAAAGATTAGATATAATAGTTTGAATTTTAAATTACATTAAGTTTTTAGAAATTCTAATCATTTTTACTTAGTATATTTAATCTCTGTTTTTTGGTTTTATTTTTAAGATATAGCATTGCAAATAATAATTATCTGTAGTGTAAATTAAAAATTTTATTTAATATAATATTTTAGTTTATATTTAAGATAATAATTTTAATTAATAATATTTTTTTTTTCTTTTAAGCAGTCATAGTAGTACTTTATTAAATTATTTATAACTATATATATAAATACAGAATATCATTTAACTTATAAATCTATTATTATCTACTTATCTAAACAGTATCTAAATGTGATCTGCTATATTAATTTAGTTAGGACTAGAAATTACAACTTGTTTGATCTCTGCTCTACAATAGAATACTACTAATCTGGAGATATCTTTTCATAGAGAAGATAAAAACAAAAAAAAAAAAATTTTTAAAATTAAAAAAAATGAAATGAAAATAAAAAGTAAAATAAAACTAATAAAAAAAAATAAAACTAATTTATAAGAAAAATAAAAAAGAAAACCTGTTAACAGAATAAAACTTTATTCTATAATTACTACTCATTACAATGTTTTTATATTTTTATAAACT